AATCTGTTTGCATCCCTTGAACAGAAGCTATGATCATCTTCTCTCTCTCTTGTTTCTATACTGTGTGTGTACTGCTTAAGTGAGATCTATCATCTTCTTCCATAGCTCTGTTTTGAAATATTTAACATCTGCTATTATTTCTCCATCTCTACGTTCAAAGTTTCTATGCAAGCTTAAATATTTTTTTGCAGGTTTTCTCTTACCACTCATGCTTGCTTACTATTTCCCTAGTACTTTCCATCTCTGAGTTTTCCTCTCAGTTTTCCTCCACTGACCCATTGTGTGAATATATTTCCATGTTTCTGCTTTATTTGAATCAGCATATCACTGGGGAACCCATGTAGAATTTTTCAGCCATTCTAGAATGTCTGAATGATTTGAACATGGATGGCAAACAGTTTGAGGATGTAGAGAAGAGTGTTTGGTGTTTTACTCAATTACCCAAGGCAATGCAATTCAAGGACAAATAATTAGTCAACCACAAGAAAGAAAGAATGTCAGTCTTGACAGATATTCTATGGATGTCATCTGTACGAAGGTCTTAGGACTCATGAAGAATCAGCCCTACTCAGCACTTGAACTTAGGTCAAACATGCGATATCTGGCACTTTTGGGAGACTTGTAGAGGTGGAGGGCAAACAAAATTCTAAATTATCTAGGCCTTTGAGCATTAGTAGATGGATGTCATTTTGCGTAATTCATATCAAGTTCACCTTGTGTTACCTTTCTCTTTATCTCTATCTGTGACTCCTTTGATGGTCCTGTATCTGTGGTTTATGTTATAACCAATGATCTGTTCTTGTGTCTCTGTCTTCATTGTCTATGTCAGTAATATACTCACCAAGGCTGCCTTTCTCTAGGTTCCCCACAATCATCTTCCTCTGGACTTCCCAGGACTTCCAGTCTATACAATATCTGTTCTGTCTCACGGATAGGATGATGAGCAGATAACACCCTCTTACCTGTGATCTTTATATCAATAGGATCACTGGATTTGGACCACTCATATGGTGTGTGATTGTAAGAACCATAACATGTGTAATTCCCAGCATGGTCAGGTGTCACAGGACCTATTTCAAAGTTGGCATGGGACCCCCCAAGATTAGATTCTGCAGAAATCTGGAAGGAGTCCTTGATTATTTCTTTTCTGAGTGAAGTCAAAATGAAGGTGTCAAACATAATCTCTGATCGACACTCCAGTGTCACCTTCTCTCCTAAATTCACCAGGGGAGGTTGTAAGGCCAAGAG